ATTATTGTATGAGTGATATTAAAGGCTTTTGATTAAAAATCTAAGAGCCTACGAAACATGATCTGGATTCATCGTGTAAAAAATTTGAACCATACGATGTTAACTAGAAAAATAAAAGAAACACTTTATATCAGAATTTGATTTTTGGATCACTTTTCAACTATAAAATCGGCTAAAAAAGTCTTGCCTTTCAAAGTATTAACACATCTTGGTTGTTACTGATGCGCCAGATACGATTCAGTTTTTAGTTTTTGACTGGTATCACGGTAAGTTATTTCTACAGTGGCCTTAAAAATAATGATAGTGCACATTGTTGATCTTTATTCCCAAAGACAAGTTTTTTTTAAAGTTATCCACTACATTCCAAGCGCCTACCTGTGCCATTTATAAACAAGTGTTTCACTGTGTTGATAGTACCCACGTGGTGTGACAGGTCTCTTCATCGTTGATTTGCGCATGCGCAGAAATCACCTCGGAGGCTTAGTAAAGCAGCATGGACTGAAGTAAAAGGACGCCATTTAGTGTATCACAAATTAGAACGAGTGATATATCGTTCGAATACGAGGTTTAACCTCACTTAGTTAGTCACTATTGTGTTGGTAGTTTTACAAGTAAGGTTTTATTGAAAAATTTAGTAATTCGACGAATATAAGCACTCATGATTAATACAGGGTGAGTCATTTTTATCGTTTGTAACTTGTAAGATCTCACGAACTTTTAGTTCTATTACTGCAGCACTAGTTTTCGCGTTCTTTGTTAAGAAACCAATCTTAACTTGTCTTAAGTTAAGACGTTTCCTGATGACAGTTTAAAGAAAAATATACTTTCATTAAATTTACCATCTATTGGGATGTTTGGAACGATTCTAAGTTATTCAAATTAATTTTTGCAACACAAAGTAAAACTTTTTAGAAAATGTATAGTTCCATTTATTGCCCAGCTCTGCAAGATTTACAGAAAGTGTGATTTAGGAAAGATAGTCAAATTAAAAAATTAATAGTATATATCTGTGGTCCACACTACTGTTAACGCTCTAAATTTATATTTTTCAGAACATCACATGAAATGGAAGAAGAACAAGATCCTGCTACAATGACTACAAGCTTTTCAGACCTAGACCTTCAATTGTCCCAAGAGACAATGAAACAAATGTGGGAAGAACTGGAGAAACTGTCCCCAAATGGGTAACTGCTGTTTTATAGATAATAATGTTACAATTGTGTTATTTTTACTTAGTGAAAAATAAGATGAAATTTTTCTTTCTTTTTTAATGCAATATTTTTCTGTGAACTAACCCTTGTTCTTATGCTGAAAAAGTAATTTTTATAGTTTTAAGCAATGTCATCAAGTTCCAAGAGTTAAAGTAAAAATATTAATACATAAGATTTTGGTTTGACTAAACAACCATGAAATTGAAAACAAATTTTTATGAGGAAAATGTGGACAATTGTATGAATTTGGTTAACTTATTGGTCTGAATCAGTCTGTATTATTTGTTTGTACAAGAAGTACATGAGAGATCATATACTTAAGTATAAATATGCTCGATTGAAACTACAAATATTTTTTTCCACCTTTGTTTAACCATTTTTCAGTGCATCATTTATACTCTTTGGGGAAAGTGCAAGTTGGTATGGTTAGTTATCAGAGAATTATTTTTGAAATATATTAAGTTAATGTTCATTAGATGGTTCTTCTAAAATTTCAACACATAAACCACATAAAATTGGCACTTATGCCAATAATTGATTTCAAAAGTATATAAGCCAGTTAGCACAGTTCAAGAGTTCTGCCAACCCCTCTCTCTGAAGAAGTAAAAACTGGAAATGTGTTTGGCTAAATGCATCTACCCATTTAGTAGAATTACATGATAGAAACTTACATGGTCTCTGTTTTCACTTAGTTATTTAGTTGCTTCTAATGCATCATTATAAACTTTGCATAGGTTTGTAGTTAGTTATTAATAAATTTCACTACATTTATATACAGAGTAAGAAACCTAATCCTTTGGCATTTATAAGTATATGTTAATACATTTTTTCAATTCACATAATTTGTGTTAGGTTTGTGAATACTATGAAATACGATATTGAAAATGTTCTTTACTCACCATAAATAACTTATGTTTGAAGAATAGATAACAGTACTACTGTCAGTAAATTTGATGCTATTATATGTCACTAAGTTGGACTGGTTTGGGGAAATTTATACCTCTTCAGTAATCTGGAGCCTGGTTTGCTTTTGACCAAAATTAAATATCAGAAGTGTATTTCTCTGAAACTGTTCTATTTCAGTAACATTGACAATACATTGTATTTAAAATCATAAATCTTCCAGTCAAACTCTGGATTACATTGCTGTATAGTTATACAAAGGAAAGGTGAGTTTTGATGGTTTTTATTTAGGATTTCCATACCCTGGATTTCAAAGAATTCTGTTCAGTTACTTATTTTGTTAAGATCTTACAGTATGAAAATCTTTACATTATGAAACTGGTTATTACAAACATTTTTGCAACTTTAAAAACCTTACAAAGTGTGAGAATGAAATAGTATTCTCATAATATTTCATATTTTTTGAATATTTAAGATATGCAAAATATTAGAAACATTCCCAAAATACATGTATGTAATATATATACTATGTGGTTCTGGGTAGTACATTGTTTTTGTTCCTAGTCATTTTCCATTTATGAATGAGAAATTTTTTGGATGTTTCAAATATATGTTTTAGGTCCTTCACAACAGTAGTAGATCAAACTACCATGGGACGTGGAGGTCCTGAGGATGAGGAATTTGTTGAATGTGATAAGTTTGTTATAGATCAGCACATTTATGCTCAGCAGGTAGAAAATGTGGTAAGTTTTGGTTTTGAAAACTTGTGGTTATCATCATCAGGGTCTTTTTATTCAACACACATCTTTTTTTTCTTTTGTTAATGTATGAAGAACAAGAAGACATTCACACTGTAGAAGTTTGCCCTCCCCTTATTTATTTTATTAACCACATATTGAAAAACCTTCCTTGTGAGTTGTTTTATCTGGGAATAAACCTGTTTGGAGATCATATAGGATTCAAAGATGTTAATTATGTGTAAATTACCTTGTGATAATAAAAATAGGTTTTTAACTACTTTCAGTGACTGATGTAAATACTAGGGGATACTGTTGAATTAAATGCTATAGATTTGTATAACACTTTGTGTTTTATGATCAGCTATGAGTGCTTTCTTCTTGTATGGTTCTGTTATATTATTATAATGGGAACATTTGAATATTAGTTCTCTAAGTAATTAGATGGTGCTATGTGGTAATGTTCTACTGTGCATACGGCCTATGATACACAGGTTGTCATGGTTGACAGGTGCCGTTACACTGATACTTGTAAGCATCTGTAAAATGGGTTTTGTGAGAGTTTACTAGAGTTCCTGTTAAGTCTGTCAGGACACACTCTTCATGCAACCAGCTGTTATTTTTTGACACAGGCTGATATGACTTTGGTACTTTCATTTTAATTGGACTAGACTAGCAATATTACACACACACACACTAATATGATATTTTCTAATTATATTGTTGTATAATATAGACATCCAATACTTTAACACATAAATTAAGTCAATGTGTTAAAGAATAGCAAGAAGAGCTTTAATAAATTTAATCATGATCTAAATTACATTTGATGAACTACTTTGATTTTCTGCATTATACAAAGCTGCAGGAGCTATTATATTGATCAGAAATCATCACCAGTTCTGGTTTCACTTTCATTTGTAAACACAGCCCACTTTAGCCAGCAAAACTTTTTTGTTGTCAACATTTGACAAATGTTATCTTGGTGGACAAATTGGATTTTCCTCTTCAAAGAACAACTTGAGAACAGACATTTTATCAAACATTTAGTGCTAAATACATCAAGGAGATCCAAAAGAGAAGTGAAAGGGCACAGTTAGCAAGAGGTTGACGAGTATATATATGTGGCACTGAATTTGTAATGAAGTACACTGTCACTTGCCATTTGAATTGAAAACAAACCAAACTGCTTTAGGTATGTATATATCTTATCTTGTTTTTATACTCATTATCCAAATTTATAACTATATCCCTCTGTTGTGTGTCATTACACATACAGCCTGTGTGATCAACTACCTACATTTTTCAGTTAGTATACCATAATATTCACTTTTGATTCAAAGGTAAACCTAAGTATTGCCTGTATAGGACCATACTTGTATCCAAATTGCAAGCATCTACACAAAGTGGAGGAAAAACAAGTTGTTAGTGTGTTACATATTCAGCTATTTAATTAGGCTTATTTTACATTACAATTGCCATTGACTTTGTATGCATGTATGTTATTGACCAAGGCTTAACTTTATGATATGCCCTTCCAATGATTTTCAAGTTACTTGTGAAATTTAGATTTGGTTTTTTTAAGTTTGTGTTATGTGAGCATATACTAAGGTAATTAAAAAACTTATTTTGTATCTTTGTTATTTAAGTACCAACTTAAACATAATTAAATATGTTTATTTAAGTACAGTATTGTCTCTTCACTGATTGTTTATTTGTTATAAACTGAAAGGCCTTAAACATACATTTTTATTGGGAAATTCCTGTGTTAACATCACTAGAACTTTCTTTTACCTAGATTCTACTGTCCATTTATTTTATTAATTCAAGCTTTGCTGCTTTTTGAATTGTTTTATCATAATATATGTTATGCAAAATTTGTTTGTACATTTATGCTTTTAAGGCTTTAAGATTATTAGAAGACTATCCCTGGTATCTATGGTACTGCTAGTGATGGTCCTTCAGGTTCCAGCATCCCTCTCTAACCTCGGTTAAATGTAGCTGTGCATGTAAAAGCTAAGGAGGTATACAAAAATCTTCTTAAAACAGATTACCTGCTTGCTGTGGGGCAACAATTTCTGTTAACATTCAAAATTCTAGTTACAAAGTGTGAAAACAAAATTGAGTACAACTGATTTCAAATTTCGATAATACCATTAGAGCAAAAGAATTTATTAATGTTATGTTATTGCAGAACCTATCTGTAAGAAAGTAGCAGTGGTTTTTTGTCCAGCAATAGTTTTTTGTAGCACTTAGTGATGGAAAGTCAGGCAGGAAAAACTGTCTCTGAAAAATAACTGATTTACATTAGAGATATCAAGCAAGGTATATGTTTCTGTGTTTGATACTTTTCACAATGATATAGGTCCAGCTTATCTCTCTTTGCTTAATTTGTGTTCAAGGTTACTGATGAGGAGTGGAATTCTCCAAAAGAGTATAACCCAGTAACACACGTTGATCAAACTATAGATTGAACTAGACCTCCCTTGAACTTAGACCTTGAAATTAAACAATTTTTGGAATACTAAGTTTAGTTCTTATGTTTCTATGTTGCTTTACAGGATATTGATATTTTTGTGATGCAAATGCAAGTAATCTAAAGAGAAGCATTGATGTATTCAAAGGTGATGGAGATGTTTCAATTCCAGCAGAGAAATAGACTTACCTGCTAGTTTTAACTACAACTGATGAAGCCTCTGTTAATACTGGAGTTTACAATGGATTGTTAACAAAACTGAAAAATGACAATTTCCTTTGGCTTCTAGGCATTCACTGCATTTCCCATAGAGTTGAATTGGCCTTGAAGGATAGTATGTAAATAACTTGCTGATGTGAAAGACTTCATGACAACTATATATTACTTATTCAAATGATCTGGAAAGCTCAAAAGGCACTTCAGACAACTGCCAGTGCATTTGGTGGGCAGCATCTTAATTTTCCCAAAGTGCATGGTGCACAGTTTGTTGCATGCATGAGGTGTGATGTAAATCATTTACTGAGTAATGGGTAATTCTTGCTTGAGCAATAGAGGATGCCAGTTGCAAGGAGATAGTAGTATCAGCTAAATATCATGGACTCTTTAAAAAGATGACTTTTGTGTTAAAATGTTGTTTGTACAAAGATGTGTTTGTGTGTCATATTCTGCCTATGCAGTTTGAAAAAGAAAACATTTTATGCTATCAGATGCTACCTATGGTAGAAAAAGTAAAGGATGTCTTAGGAACTCAAAGAAGAAACTTCAGATACACATTGAAAATCTTTTGAAAATTTTCAAACTTGAACTGGAAATAAAATCAGGTTCCTGGCATCTTAAGAGTACTTTGCTTAAAGCAGGGCACCAAAAAAAATAAAACAGAGAATACACTACTGTCAGTGTCAGCTACAGTCTAATATGAACAATGTGGAATGTGCTGAGAAAACTAAACAAATTGGTAATTACAGTTATTACAAATGTACTGGCATGTCTTGAATCAAGGTTCTTTTCATTTAAGAATGAACTTTATCAAAGTATGTTTTGGATAGATCCAGCAAACTAGGTGATATCACCAAGGAAATTGAGTGTTTCAATTTACCTGCAGAGCATTTTTATGAGACAAGAAATGAATGGTCCTGATAAAACTAAGATTAGCTTAGAATGGAAAGAATTCAAGAGAATAGTTAAGTACCACATGAATGGAGTCAAAACTAAGAATCTCTAGAAGCATATGTTTCTATGCTGAAGGAAGGAATTAAGAATGTTTGTATATTGGTAGAAAGAGTGCTCTGCATAGAGCCCAGTAATAGTGTCATTCAGGTGGAGTTTAGTCACCTTACCATCTTGCTTATTGCCTTAGTTTAAAACATGCAACAATTTAGAACCTTCTATTGAGTAAAATAAATTAATTTATATGGACACGTGAGGAAAATTAACAAATATTAGAAACAGCCTTGGAGACCTTAATGGCAAAAAAAGGAGGAAAACAAGTTATACAAATCTTTCTATCATGTCTAGAATGTACAGCCAATAAATGGAAGTCATACATGTAAATTTATTGATTCTGACTGTATCATGTCTTGTAGATCAAGTGATGTGGTTGACACAGATGAGATTCTTTTTCAAGAACTGATTGCACAGGAATCATTTAATGTTGACACTGCCGATTCTCCTGCACACAGTGTGTGTGAGGATAATGACTGAACATGCTCCACTAGCTAACATTTAAACATAACAATGGATCTTGGTACATACAAATTACTATGTGAAGTAGATTTACTTCAAATTAACTTGATTTTTTATGAGATGTATTTATGGAACTTTGTGACTTAATTTTTTGAACAAAGTGAAATTGGTGTTTTATTTCTTAGTAAAAAAAATTAATTAACATTTTATTTTTGTATGTAACTCATAAAAGAGTAATTATAATATGATTATAGTCAAGATGTTAAGCAGATTATAGCATTATAATTTTTCCAATTTTGCTGCATATAAAAAATGTATTGATTGTTACTTTGTTTATTCATCAAATTATTATACTAGGCCTTATATTTACCTCTTACCCTTACTTCACCCTTGAAATACAACCACAGATTTACTTTATATAAAAACAATACAGTTCAGTCAATACAGATTAAATTTTATTGTCCAATTTTGTAAACAAAGAATAGAGATTATGGCATCAGCTCACTAACAATCCTCATTTACTGTTTAATGGGGGGCTGTTTACAGCTCTTGTGCATTTTTCGAAAATCGGGGCCTGAATACATTATATTATGTTTTTTGTAGTAATAGTTGTATATATATATATATATATATATATATATATATATATATATATATATATTATATATTGTTTTTTTTTTTTTATATATTATACTATGTA